CCAGCCCCAGCCAAAAAAAAAAAAACCACAAAGAACACCTCAGGCTAATGTCCTGCTGCAGACTTTCTAATTCAGTAGATCTGGAGCAAGGCCCCCCGGAATGTGTATTTCTAACATGTTCCCAGGTGGTGCTAATACTGTCCCTCTATTAGGATGGGTAGAAGAATTGCTTCTTGCCTCATGTCTCGAAGAAATCATGAGAGTTTTGTTTTCTTATAGGATAGGTGTTTTCTAACTCTAAAAGAAAAGAAATTGGGCCAGATAGTTCTCTACTGTGTTTATTCTGGTTGTCATGGCTGGAACAGAGGACTCACCGTGTCAACAGACAAGGGAGGTTTGTTTGGGTTACTGTTTACAGTGTACTCTCCAACTGTGCATAGAGATTACACCCAGTCAGCAGAGAGTACCGTCCCCCTAGGACATACATACAATCTTCTTACGACTGTGACACCACACAGTTTCTTACCAGTTAAATATTTGAGTGGTTGTTATCCCTTCTCATCAATGGTTCCCTTGGTTTGAGACACCTGCCATATGCAGTCTCTAAAACTATTTGTGTGATGGTTTTCAGCCACTCATATTGTATCTGACACTCAGAGAACCCAGGCTCCAATTCGTGATAAAAAAAAAATCACAAAAGTTCAGCTTTTTCCTAAGACTTTATCGTGTTTGCAACATTCTATGAATGAATGTTCACTGGTACAATTTTTCTTTTTCCAGCAGCAGTACAAACTGTTAGGGAAGAGCAGAGAGCTCCAGCCATATCCAGATTAGAAGCAGGCACAAGAAGAACTAGAAGAATTTGTCTCTATGGTATTTGATGCTCTGGATTTGTATGTGTTTTTACCTTATTCATTTTAGGAAGTAGGCTTCTAGGCCATTGGGACAGTGCTTTTTATAGTGCCTAATGCCAAGGAGACAAAAATGGAGACTACCTGGCTGCTGATTCCTGAACCACCAGAGATCTGAGTGAGGAATCTATTGCTAGAAACTCCCAGATAGGTTCTGAACAAATGCCTTTAGCAACCACAGTGGTTTCCCAAGCCTCTCTATCTCTTAGTAATTTTTTTACATCTTTGAGACTTTGAGAATCTCAAAGAACTTTACAGACTTTGAGAATCTATATTATTGAGAATGTATGACTATCCCTTACCCTTTATTTCCTTTAGAAAAGTTAGGAGTTGAAGAGATGACAGGGTCAAGGAGGCAGCATCATGACTGGCAGATTGCTTAATTACAGGGCCATTGGGCAAATAAGTAAAATACTGAGTGAAGTGGAAGCCATGTTACTTACTTTTGGAGAAGAAGTTTACAAATATGAAAGAAAGCTGTAAACAACCCTGAGGCATTAGATTGGATTAACAAGTATACAATCTCTTTTTAAAAACTATATAGATGTGTGCATATATGTGTGTGTGCTCCCACATATACCATAGCTCTCTCCATGTGTATATGTGTCTGGAAATGTACAAAGTGCACCTGTAACCTCTTGGAGGGAAGTTCTCAAAGCACTATGGGAAGATGAAAAGACATAACAGCTAACTGGAAAGGGCTTCCGTTGGCCAATCTTGGACAATTTGAACATCAAAATAACTGATGATAGTAACTGATTATAAACTATTGAGTAAACATGATTCAATACTAATATTTAAAAGATAGCATGAGTGGGGGAAAGAGGTAAAACTCTTATTTAGGGTACAAAAGTCTACTAGTAAGGATTAATGGAAGCAGCAAGTCACCACTTCACAAGACTGTTGGTTGATTTAGGCAGGAGTCTTCAGTGAACACTAAGGTTGGTGGGTGGGTGTTTGATATGCAGAAGAATGCTAGCCTACTCTACAGGTATCATCTGAAAAATATTTACTAATTACAAGAGGTAATTGGTGAATTTATTGAAGGAAATCCTGGGAGACACCAAGTTGAGCATAGTGATCATGGTAAACATAAGCAGCTGTAGAACAAGGCACACCATGTGCCTCGTGATGAAATGCACGAGATCACATCATCCTTTCTGTCACAAGCCTGCCAAGAATGTGTGGCCTGGTTCCAGACATAGGAAGACACTGGATGGACCCAGGGTGAGAAGTACCTTACAAAATGAAAGGCCTATGCTCTTTAAAACTCTTAAGGTTAGTGAGGAACAAAAAAAGAAGAGTGGGCTTGGTGCCTATAGCTCAACCGGCTAAGGCGCCAGTCATATACAACTAAGGTGGCGGGTTCGAATCCCCAGCCCGGACCCGCCAAACAACAATGACGGCTGCAACCAAAAAATAGCCGGGCGTTGTGGCGGGCGCCTGTGGTCCCAGCTACTTGGGAGGCTGAGGCAGGAGACTCGCTTGAGCCCAGGAGTTGGAGGTTGCTGTGAGCTGTAATGCCACGGCACTCTACCCAGGGGGACAGCTTGAGGCTCTGTCTCAAAAAAAAAAAAAAAAAAAAAAAGAGAACCAATCCAAATGGAGAAGACTGAAGAGACCTGGCAACTAAATACACCAAATATCCCAGATTGGCTTCTGGACAAGAAAGGAAAAGTTAATGTTGGAAAACATGGAGTGAAGTCTACGGATCAGTTAACTTATTTTATTGGTGGAGATTTCCTGCTTTAGATGTTTATATTGGAGCTTTGTAGAGAAATATCCTTGCATCAGGGATATGCACACGCAGGTATTTACCACTGATGAAACATTCTGTCTGCAATCTGCTCTTAAGTAGCTCAGAAAAAAAAAATACTGATTATCTATAAAATCTTGATTTCTACCAGATACACTTTCAGAGAAATCAAACCCATTTCATGATTAAACAAACAAAGTCAGAAGACCACTTTTTTGAGAGGACATAAATACGTGTCTGGCTTTGTACTAATGACTTTCCTCCAGCATTGCTCTTCTTTTTTTTTTTAGATGATTTTTTTTTTTTATTGTTTGGGATTTATTGAGGGTACAAAAAATTAGGTTATACTGATTGTATTTGTTAGGTAAAGCCCCTCTTATATTTATGTCCTGCCCCCAAGAGATGTGTGTGCCATACACTATGACCCCCCTGACCCCACTCCCTTGTTCCCTCTCCCTGCTTTCTCATTCTCCCACCCCCCACTTTGTATTAGTTCATCTACTGCCTTCATATTAGAATTGAGTACATTGGATTCTTGCTTCTCCATTCTTGTGATGCTTTACTAAGAAAAATGTGTTCCAATTCCATCCAGGTTAATATATAAGATATAAAATCTCCATCTTTTGTAATGGCTAAATAGACTCCATGGTATACATGTATCACAGCTTGTTAATACATCCCTAGAGTACTACTGTTTTTTCCAATGACCCTTCTCAAGTGACTGAGCCTGAGGCTTCTTGAGGAGAACAATGAACCCTTGCTCTATCACCCCTCCCAACTCTGTAACATTCCTATAGATAAAGCATCTCTGTATTTCATTTCATTTTATTAACAATATTTATTGAGCACCTATATTGCATTAGTGTTCCAGGTACTGACTTTAAAATTGAGAGCAAAACAGATATATTTCTTGTTCTCATGGAGTTTATATTTGGGGTTGTAAAAAAAAAAGCATACTTTTATGTTTTGAGTTTTAGATTATGTCATATAGTAACAAATGGCATGAAGAAAAAGGCAGCAGAATGTGGGAAGGGGCCTATTTTACATGAGATATTATTTTCTGTCAGGGTTAGATGCTCTAACTGAGGTGACTTTTGAACAGAATCTTGCAAGTGGATATTTTGCCAACTAGTTCCACCAGGAAGTGGGAACCATAATTGTAAGCACAATCTGAGGCGAGATTGCATGTGATGTGCTGAAGAACAGCAAGGAAACCCTAAGGATGGAGATGAGTGAGA